TTATCCTAACAAACCATACATCAATGGAAAGCTTATTTATTCAGTTTTCAGATGATGTATAAATCTTAATTTTAAAAAGGTTTTGTGGTCCAGGGTCACATATAGGCAGTATACAGTGCATACTTAGTAATATACAGTAAGAAGTACAGTAACAAATTGAAATATCCATATCGTAGGAGGGACATTTACCGGCTTCTTAAACTGCCGTCATCACGCAGCGTGGACTCATTTGCAGCTAGAAGCATCTGGAGGCACTTTCTCGCCTCTCTCCAAGCATCATAACCCTCAGCCATAAAAGCATTGAGTGTGGGCTTTGATGAAGAAGAAGAAGAAGAAGAACAAGAAGAAGAAGAAGAAGAAAAAGCATAAGGATGCAGAAGAATCCAAACTTAATGTTACCTGCCTAGGGACTGCAGATGAAAAGTAGTTATTGTTACTAATTCTGGCATATTTACATGGTGTATATTTATACAACAATGTTCATGAATATGCATGGTCCCTATTAAATAAACCAATAAATAAATAAAAAAATAAATAATACAAAACTACACTGATGCTCACCTGTTCAAACACATCCTGATGGGGTCCAAGAGCCGGTCCATTGAAAAGATGCTTGACAACACTGAGGTCCAAAATCTGGTCTCCAATAGCAACGCCGATTCTGTGCCTGGACTGTTTTATACAAATATGTGGTACAAGTAAGAAAGGACCTTGTTGACTTGAAAATGTTGCATGGATTTTAGAATGTATTTGCTTTTATGACACACAATGTTCTCCAGCATGATTATAGATGTTCCAAGACTTTACATGCTCAACGTCTCAAATAATATACATGTATAAAAACCTTTTATACTTATACACATTGTACTTTTTCAATATTGTAGAAGCCAATAAAAGCTTTGTTGACAATAAAGGTTTACTTTAGATTTTCAGTGTGCATTCTGACCTTTGAAACCTTGTGTCCACACAGAAATGCAATGGAAGAAATAATATTCTAAGTAACATCATTCAGTCGTTTTATAAAGTTAAAACGCGCTCTCGTTACATAGCAAGACTTTGTTAATTCAGTTCAACCAAACATACTGTCATTCCCAGGACTAAAGAAAGCGTGTACTCACATTATCCGGCGTGGAAAAAACTCCGTAAGGCAAGTTGTGATAAGAAAAGTCACTTTTCTCCTCCACTTTTACGAAAGACATTTTGAAGTTGCAGTCGTACTCTGGAATACTCCTCAGAGTAAAGAGCAGCGCGAGTAACCTCTTCCAGATGTTCACTTGAGAAGCGGCGAGCCAATCAGAGACGCCCGCTTCTATCCTCCCTACGTTAAGTACACTTCGTCTATTCGACGTGACTCAGCAGAAAAGTACCAACCGCAGAACGTTACTTATAATTCCGTTACATGTAACTAGTTACTCCCCAACACTGCTTATAGGGTATGGTTCCCATTATTTAAACGAATTCCTAATGTTCTAGAAACGTTTTTTATGTGACAACCTAATAAAAACATTGTCTAACGAGAAAGTTTTTTTATAGACAGACCTGAATAAACATTCCATGTTGGTGTTGGCTTTTCCAGATGTTCACTTGAGAAGCGGCGAGCCAATCAGAGACGCCCGCTTCTATCCTCCCTACGTTAAGTACACTTCGTCTATTCGACGTGACTCAGCAGAAAAGTACCAACCGCAGAACGTTACTTATAATTCCGTTACATGTAACTAGTTACTCCCCAACACTGCTTATAGGGTATGGTTCCCATTATTTAAACGAATTCCTAATGTTCTAGGAACGTTTTTTATGTGACAACCTAATAAAAACATTGTCTAACGAGAAAGTTTTTTTATAGACAGAACTGAATAAACATTCCATGTTGGTGTTGGCTTACACTTGGATGTTATAAGTTGCACTGAGTAAATACAGCTGGATAAAACAAAAACTGTGCAAAGCAACAAAATGTGATTATTTTAAAGGGGGTGATTCTTTTCTATACCCACTGTAAGTCAGGGTTAAGCAAAAATCATACAAATTCATGCATTATTTAAAAGATCATTTACAACAGCACTCGAAAGGCAAGTATTGTATCATAATAAGAATGAATTAAGGTATAATTGTTCAGCATTCAGACTAAAATATCATGCAGATGACTTCAGCTTTTGTGTGTGTGTGCGTGCTATGGGTGTGTTTTTCTTTAAAGTTTCATAATCTACAATGTACTGTTGCTGTTACTACTCCGTGATATCACAGATGTAGTAATGATTGTGTTCAGCTTGCTGTCGGAAAACAAACATACAATAGTAATTTGCTAACCACTTAAATTATTTGTAGCTTTAAACATTGCAGCATAAAACTAATAGCAAGATTTTGCAGCAGTGTTGCCCTTAAACGACAGTCTTATGATTAATTTTAACATTAATAGCACACACAGACGTATAATGCAAGTAAACAAACTAGGGAGACTGTAAACTTGGCTAAATTGAGTCACTAGAGCGCTTACTACAGTGTGATGTGTAAAATTTTATTGAACATGAATGCAGTGAATAGGTACACAAACATAAATAAAGCCACTCGCAACTTTCACTCACTCTAATAAACGAGCTATAAGAAAAATGTAAATCACAGTCTGTAATGAAGTGCAAAATACCTGTTAAACCAGAGACCGCAGTCGCAAACATAATTTGTATATTTGAAATGACTTATAAACCTCTTAGTTTTTTAAACCAAGGATGAAGCAGCAAATACAGTAATTGATAATAAAACATTATCCTTTTTTATATTAAGTAAATAATTTAATTTTCTTGCTTACAATCGTTATTGGAAAAAAAAAACTGAAATAAAAATAGAAGACTCATTCTGGCAATGTTTTCACATGCAAGCTTTGTTCATCACCAGAAACGCACGGTCACCCGGGTCGCCTCAGCATATGAGAGCTAAAACCCATTTATTAATGCAAATTAAATTACTAATTATATAAATATTTTGCTGTTTACATACCACAGTATTTTGTAAGTAAATAATTTGAGAGGTAAAATGAAACAAAGGGACAAAATCAATTTGCGTATGCGTTTCATTGTAGCATGCACAATTCAAGGTTTCAAGGAAAAGAGTAAAAAAAAAGCATCTTTGCAATCTTCAGCTCAAATCTTCTTGATTTTCTCCCCGACGATAAGCGGGTTTTCCTTCCTTATTTTCTCAGCTGCATCAGCCTTGTAATTAAAGCTACAGTTGTGAACATCTGAGTATCTGTGAATGCTGCAAAAAAAGTGTCCGCACCGGCAGTCAAAGCCTGTCAGACAGAAACAAAAGCTAAATTAGCTCAATATACTCAATATTTGAGTCAAATTGTCAGGTCTTAAAATCTAGCCTGTTGCATGCAAAGTTTCATCAAAACACTGCCTGTAGAGCTCAGAAACAGGATTGCATCAAGCCACACATCTGTGGAAGAGTTCAGTAAAAAATTCTGCTTCATTGAAGGGTCACAGAAGCATGCAGTCTCTGTTACCCTTAATGGAAGATGTTTGAAACAACCAGGACTCTTCCTAGAGATGGCCTCCTGACCAAACTGAACAACTGATGGAGAAACAAATTTCATTACACCAAATACACAAAATAATGTTCTTTTTAGCAACATCATATGACCCCTTTAATGAAAACCCAGTCCAGAGCATTCAGAACCTCAGACTGGGCAGAAGGTTCACCTTCCAACAGAACAATGACCCTAAGCACACAGCAAGAGTGGCTTATAGACAACTGTGTGAATGTCCTTGAGTGGCCCAGCCAGAGCCTGGGATTGAACCCAATCAAATATTTCGGGAGAAACCTGAAAATGTGCATCTGCCCCCATCCGACTTGACAGAGCTTACGGAGGTGAAGAGATGGCAGATAATTGCCAAATGCTGATGAGCAAAATATATATATATATATATATATGTGTGTGTGTGTGTGTGTGTGTGTGTGTGTGTGTGTTTGCATACCAGTGAGCCCGACTTTCTTGCGGCAAGTGAAGCAGCGGTTCTTCTTAGGTCTAGATTGCTCTGGTACATCTGATGTTTGATCTGAGACATCTGAGGCTAAGAGATTAATACAGGTGTTAAACATTTAGAAACGCTGCTAACATGAAGAACACCTCATTCAATGGGATTCTGAATGTCAAATGTTCTTGGTCGGCATCTGATTTGAGCCTGCAACTTTTCCTCATATAGTATTGATCTAAACATTCTGAGGAAAATGTGGCAAAAATGACGCAAAGATCCTGATACTCACCAGACACTCTTTCTATGGGTTGACAAGTTTCATCCAGCTTCCTCTTTCCTCTAACTGTGCACTCCTCCGCTGATGAGCTACCTGCCGTGGACTCCTGGATGTTTCTCACCAGTTTACTGCACGATACTTCTGTACAAACAAACACAAAGTCGGTTTTCCTAGCTTTAAGCCTTAGCTAGCTCTAACTAATTTTTTTAGTTTTTAATATTTTCTCATTAACTAGGCTGTTGAATTTTGGAAAGTTGACACTTTTGTTAACCGAGTAGAAAAAATAGACATGGTTATTGACAGATGCGAAATATAAAATTTATATATAAAACAAATGAATAAATGACAGTTCAAAAGTTTGGGATCAGTAAGATTTAAAAAAAAATTTTTTAAATCTCTTTATGCTAAGCAAGGCTGTTTTCATTAATCAAAAATACACTAAACAGTAATATTGTGAAATATTATAATGTAAAATAATGGTTTTCTATATTAATATACTTGAAAATGTAATTTATTAATGTGATGCAAATCTGAATTTTCATTACTACAGTCTTCAGTGTCACATGATTCTTCAAAAATCATTCTAATATGTGGATTTATTATCAATGTTGGAAACATTTTTGTGCTGCTTAATATTTTTAGGAACATGTGAAACGTTTTACAGGATTGTTTCATAAATAAAAAGTTAAATACAACTGTTCATTTGTAACAGTAATAAAAAAAAAGTTTTTACAATCACTTTATCAATTTAACATATCCATGCTGAATAAAAGTGTTAATTTCCCTTACCACCCCCCTCCCCCCCAAAAAAATAAAGATACAACATTTTCTATAAATAAAGACATTTCTAAAAAAAAAAAAAAAACCTACTTTTGTCTGTAAGCTAATGCTAGTTGAGCAAAGTTTGTTATTGAGAAAAAATAATGCGATATGACTAAACCTGTGCTTGGACTTCAATCAACATTTGTCATTTAATAACCTTTATCATTAATCTCTATCTAATAAACAATTCTACTGTAAGGTCCACCCAATTGGCCCAAACGAAGGTATCCAATGGTAGCTGAAGGTTTCTTGATTGTATGGTATTTTCGGTGTGCAAAGTAATTTAAATTAAATTAAATTCTAATCTGACTCAATTTTATGACCTCGAATTTACATTGAAATGCAAATTGGTTGTTTGTCCATTTCTAATTTGATTATTCTAGTGAACTCTACTTTATATTTTACTCGTTCATTAGGATTCTATGTCGCTCAGAGTGTCTCACGTCGGTTGATTTACGTGGACCTCACGATCACAAACTCTCCAGTCTGATCGTTAGACAGAGGTTATGACTTCTCTTTAATAGACCACCTCATGCTTGTCATTCTTTAAATAGAGGTTCTGTTCAGCCCCCTACAGTCACTTATGTAACAACCTAAAGCTCAAACAATAACCAGAGATTATAGCTAGAACTATGAAGTATGCCGAACCATACTTACTAGTACTCCAATAGTATAGTGTCTAGCCCCCCATAGTTAATGCAACTGCATAACAACTTAACTAATATAGAACAGTAAGTGAGAAATCTAGCATTCCACCTGATGTGCCCCATGCTCCATCTAACCTGAGATCTAGTATGTACTTAACCCTGGACACAGATTTGCGGAAACATACACCTTAATCTACTTGAGAAAATAATTTCAGAGTAAGTCCGAATAAAATCAAATGTAACAATTTATTATCAGTCAGGTAAACATGTATTATGACAATTACATGGTCAATTCAGAGATATCAAATCAAATCAATACAAGACATGACATTCTGAAACATAAATCTAAGAGTAAGTGATGCATACCTGACTTCAGGAAAATACATAGTATGGAGTGCAGAGACACACACACCACACTACGGGCTCATCTGACTACAGAAGCACCCTGATCTTCTTGCAACTTTTCCTTAAGTACTCAGACCAAGACAAACATCCTCCAAATAGAGACAGGAACTAACAATTGGAATCTGCATTGATCAAGTCCAAGACATTGAGAGTTTACCCCTTTTGGGGACAGATGGTAATTTGCATGAAAGACACTGGGAAAGAGCACACCCTCTACAGTGAGAAAAAATATCTCTAAACTCATAGGATCTGTATTACCTTTTAGTCTAGTTCTTGTAAGATTGAGACCATTGTACCAGTCGCCCTGAGACAATTCAAATGATACCAAACATCACTGTGAATATCACTTGCATTCATGTAGGACATTATATTATGCTATTGACCACTCTGAGTGAGGGGAAGGAAGTGGATGAAAAGTGTATGTGAGAAATCAGCTCTCAGTGAGATGTGGAAACAGATGTCTGCATGTTAATACACTGTGTTTGTATTGTCTCTATCTCAGAAGATCAAAGTGTCTGAGGTTCTCCAGATCTTACAGTTAACCCCCTTTGACCTCGTGGGTCACATCCAGAAAAGTCATTAAGGGGTCACTGTCAGACACTTCTTGTGGTCCTTGTGATGTAGTATTTGCAGTTGTAGAGGCCTTCAGTTGTAGAGGCCTTTGTGGACACCAGTCTCAACAGGTGCATGTAGCTTGAATCCAGCAGGTGGATGAATGGGTTCAGGATTTTACCTGTCTGGTTGAGAATAACCCGTGTGCATAGTCCATTGAATCAATCCAGGCCTTTAGCTCGACATGCCATTCCATCGAGGAGAAACTTCTGTTTCTAGTAGCACCTTCCCTAGGACTTTCTTGCCTCTTTTGACGAATCTTGTCACCTTCCAATTGTGCAGATATCTGGGCAGACTCCAACAGGTGAAGGCTTCTCATTGGATACATACTGCTTTGTGTGAGACACCTAAACAGCATCTTAATGGCTCAAGGATTGAACAATGATGAACGCGATGTCAATAAAAATGGGAAGAAAGTTAACAAGAACACATAACGAAAAAAACAAAAAAAAACAAGGCAGGTTCATGTCAGCAAGTGCGAATGGTACATTAGGTCTCAAGTGTCTCTTAATTCCTCATTTGATAAAACAGTCCCATTTAAAGCAGCCAATTCCTCACTACCACTATGATGGAGTTTAATGGTAGTAGAATTGAAGTATTCTTGGTCTGAGTGGCTCAAATGAAATGTAGCAAAAAGTCAGTATAACTTACATATTTATATAGATGGTATGCATCATTCAACCATATAATAACAAAAAAAATGCAAATTTTGTAGCTGATCGACAGAAGTGCCCGCACTTCATATCTAACCATTTTTGATAATGTTTCTGTAATTAGTGATACGTTGGGAAGCCAGCGGGCCCTCTATCCTAATAACAATTCAGAAAGTTTAAATCTTTCGAATTTTAATGGCAGATCTGCCTCTGCATTCAGAATTTTACATCATTGATTTGTGACGGTAGCCATGCATATGTATATTATGCTTCCCATGAATTGGCAGAAGGTTGTAAATAGCAAATGTCATGTGTCTTTGTTAGAATGTCATCATGGGAATAATTCTACTGTCCTATGTGTGTGAAGCTATGTGGTTCTGTCAGTGTGAAGATGGACAATAGATCTTTAGTGGAGTTCCACGTTCGGAATCTAAGCCATCGTTGTCTTCTATGATGTGTAGTGTTCAGCGTGGACAGTCTAGATCAGGTTATGATGTAATGGTGGAGGTGTGTGTTCTGTGTTCATGTCTGGGAGATGGCTGGAATCTGCAAAAATAAGTGCTGGTGCTACACTGGGAAGCCATGTAGATATTTGTGTAGTGATGTACTACTGTGAGGTGTGAATGGCCTCTTCAAGTGTCTTCGCACCCATCTCCTGCATTTCAGGCCATGTGCTAACAATTCCGCTGTCCTGGCTTGATGCAGGCGGGATAAGGCACCTTGCTGATATCGATCTTTCAAGGAATTACAGTGGTCAACCTGAGACAGAAACAAATACAGAGAGAACCACGGTTAATTTTGGAGTTTTCACCAGTTTCACGTTCAGACGTGGATTTATTTTAACTGCATCATCATCACGTATTGTAATTTTTATTCCAGATGTCACATGAAACGGAGTCTCATCGGTCAGATTTGAATTACTGCTGCTGTTTCAGTGCAGTCTGAGTGTGTAACACCTGAAGCTGCTGGCCCCTTCAAGTGTCTTCGCACCCATCTCCCGCGTTTCAGGTTATGGTCTAACAATTCTGCTGTCTTGGCTTGGTGCTGATGGGATCAGGCGCCTTCCTGGTATCTGTCCTCCAAGGAATTGCAGTGGTCAGCCTGAGACAGAATCAAATACAGAGAGAACCACAGTTAATTTTGAACTTCTCATCAGTTTCACGTTCAGACATGTGGAATTATTTTAACTACATCATCATCATGTATTGTACTTTTAATTCCAGATGTCACATGAAACTGAGTGTCATTGGTCAGATCTGAATTACTGCTACTGTTTCAGTGCAGTCTGAGTGTGTAACACCTGATGCTGCTCTTGCAGTTGAGCCTTCACAGTCTGCTGTGTCATGAGCATTAGAGGCCTGCTGGGGGAATTTTCTAGATTAATCTGTGTTTTTAATCACCCAAATCATAGTGAACTCCAATGGGCCGATGCCCATGGCTTTACTTTCAGTTGTTCTCATTACAGTTAGATCTGTGGGCAGAAATGTGTTCACCTGATTCGGTGTTGTCTGTTTAGCAATTGTTGTTTTATGGTGTTGTTCACACATGCAGATCTCTGTGGCACATGAAGACTTGTGGTATTTTGTTCTGATGTTAAGTAGTTTACACCCCCTTTTATTATTTTCTAGTACATTTAGAAGATCAAATGATGTTATGTGGCTGCATTTAACTGTGGCTGTGTCAGTTCAATCATGCTCCAAACAAGGGAAATTAAGTTTTACAGTTGTGATGTAAAAAGAATGTGGGCATGAGGTGTGATCTGGCTCAAAATACTTCCACACCAATGTTTTTTGTTAAGGAGCATGATAAGGTGCAAAATTTAGAGCTACTGAATCCTGCATCGAAATTAATGCTAGGCACTCTCCCTGATCTGATTAAATTTATTTGGCACTCCCCCAGCGAAGGATGAATTGGCTCGCTCTCATTTGTGCCACTCGATCAAAATGAAAGCACCCCCCCCCACCCCCTTGGCACTGGGTAGTGGACCAATGAAATTTAATTGGCCATAAACACCTCCCATGAAACGTAGAAAAATCATGTGTCTTCTGAGTGGCTGTAACCTCGGACTCAGTTTTGAGCCACTCTCAGAAACAAAGTCATTTGTCTTATTAAATAAACTCTTTCTATGTATTAGTCTCAGTTTTTAAGCTTATCATCTCGTTTAACTGCAGTCAAGAGGAGTTCTGCTTTGTAGCAGTAGTCCTCAAGAGCTGAGGTATAATTTTTGGCCTAAATAAAGCTTTCATTTAAGTTCTGAGTTGTGATCACACCACCCTGCTTTGCTCAGCTTGCTTTTCATATTCAATCACAAGTTTTCCAATTGTTTTGTAATTTCGATTTTTATTCTGTTTATTCATTCTCATTAAAATGTTGCTCATTTGTTGCAATGAAGCAAATAAAACAAAGAATGCAGCTTGAGGATTAAAACTTTAGGTTCTAATTTATGACTTTCTGTTGAGTACCAGATTATAATTTGATGGTTTTCCAATTTTAAGATTCATCTCTTGTTGCTTAGGCAAACAAGGAGATATTTACATTTCAGAACAAGGGATGTCATTCCTCTTCTATGCTGCTGCTATCATGTCCCTGACAAGCCAAGTGGTTTAGTCTAATTCTCAACCTAACGGATACGGTCTCCATTCTAACAATGAGTGTTCCGACTCATTCTACAAATGTGTCTATATGGGATGTGTCTGTCTTTCCCTCAACACTTCTAAAAAGCAAATAAGAATTGACTTACCACAGCAGCTGGAGAAAGAGATGGAGATGATCAAACCTCTCGTTCGATGCAAATCCATATTGCGCTGAAAAGACGTCACTCGCCTGGGTTGGAGATCACGGAGGTCGGTCCCCACTTTGTAAGGTCCACCCAATTGGCCAAACGAAGGTATCCAATGGTGGCAGAAGGTTTCTTGCGTGTTCGGTCTTTTCGGTGTGCAAAGTAATTTAAATTAAATTGAATTCTAATCTGACTCAATTTTATTATGACCTCGAATTTAGATTGAAATGCAAATTGGTTGCTTGTCCATTTCTAATTTGATTATTCTAGTGAACTCTACTTTATATTTTACTCGTTCATTAGGATTCTATGTCGCTCAGAGTGTCTCACGTCAGCTGATTTACGTGGACCTCACGATCACAAACTCTCCAGTCTGATCGTTAGACAGAGATTATGACTTCTCTTTAATAGACCACCTCATGCTTGTCATTCTTTAAATAGAGGTTCTGTTCAGCCCCCTACAGTCACTTATGTAACAACCTAAAGCTCAAAAAATAACCAAAGATTATGGCTAGCACTGTGTAATATGCCGAACCATATTTACTAGTACTCCAATAGTATAGTGTCTAGCCCCCCATAGTTAATGCATAACAACTTAACTGAAGTCAAACAGTAAGTCAGAAACCTAGCATTCCACCTGATGTGCCCCATGCTCCATCTAACCTGAGATCTAGTATGTACTTAACCCTGGACACAGATTTGCGGAAACATACACCTTAATCTACTTGAGAAAATAATTTCAGAGTAAGTCAGAATAAAATCAAATGTAACAATTTATTATCAGTCAGGTAAACATGTATTATGACAATTACATGGTCAATTCAGAGATATCAAATCAAATCAATACAAGACATGACATTCTGAAAGATAAATCTAAGAGTAAACGATGCATACCTGACTTCAGGAAAATACATAGTATGGAGTGCAGAGACACACACACCACACTACGGGCTCATCTGACTACAGAAGCACCCTGATCTTCTTGCAACTTTTCCTTAAGTACTCAGACCAAGACAAACATCCTCCAAATAGAGACAGGAACTAACTGGAATCTGCATCGATCAAGTCCTAGACATTGAGAGTTTACCCCTTTTGGGGACAGATGGTAATTTGCATGAAAGACACTGGGAAAGAGCACACCCTCTACAGTGAGAAAAATATCTCTAAACTCATAGGATCTGTATTACCTTAGTCTAGTTCTTGTAAGATTGAGACCATTGTACCAGTCGCCCTGAGACAATTCAAATGATACCAAACATCACTGTGAATATCACTTGCATTCATGTAGGACATTATATTATGCTATTGACCATTCTGAGTGAGGGGAAGGAAGTGGATGAAAAGTGTACGTGAGAAATCATCTCTCAGTGAGATGTGGAAACAGATGTCTGCATGTTAATACACCGTGTTTGTATTGTCTCTATCTCAGAAGATCAAAGTGTCTGAGGTTCTTCAAATCTTACACTACCAATTAATTAACAAACAAGAGCCTTATGATCAATAAAATCAGCAGACATACAAATGTAAGCCTGTTTAGCACTGGAAAAAGTAGAAAACAGAGCGTTTAGTCAAATGTGACAAGTGAACTTTGAACACTTATTGGCCTGGTCTCAAAGCAAACAATTAGACACATTTGGAAGATGATGACTGGCTGTTTCTATGGAGTTTGACAGAGCGTTTGTCTCTTTCTGTGTCATGTAATGTGTGTCTGGTTTTGGAGTGGGGGATGACATAAACGGGTCAAAGTGAAAAAGGGAACATACCTGGTGCTTTCAGGCCTGATTGAGCTGCTGCTGAAGCACTGTCTTTGTGTGTAACTGCTGCTGCTGCTGCTGGTGTTGCTGTTGTTGAGAAACACTGACTGGAGAGGATGATGAGAAAAGATTGTTGTGTTACATAAGTGAAAATACATAGCAGTTGTGTAAACCTTAGAAGTGGGTGTTATGACCAAAAAGTAATTTTCACTGCTGGAAATTAAATGAGAAATTGTTTATACATTTAATAACCATGCTGTAATGCCTGTTTGTGGCTAAACCAGTGAGATAAATACACTACAAACCCCCCCCCAAATTAGAAAATCGTTGATTGACATTTTGTAAATGTAATGGGAACCAGCCTATTTAGTTAAAATTAAAACCATAAAAAAATGTACTGAAATAAAATAAATAAAAAAATAATAATAAAAAATGTATTTTATTTCAGCTAACTACCAAGGCAACATTTCTCATTTTTATTTAGTTTAACAAAGTACTAAAATAATCAAAACTGAAATTAAATAAAAACTATATAAGCATTTAAAAATAAGGGGGAAAAAAAACAAAATACTAAAACTATCTAAAATTTAAATGTAAAAGCAAAATCTAAAAATAATAACTAATTCAAAATATTAATAAAAACTATGGTAGTACCTCAATGATACAAAAAAAAAAAAATTGGAACTTGGAAGAAAAATAAAAAAAGACTATTCATAAATTAAGTCTGCCATCAGTGCAAAAACAGCTTGACATTGTGTAATATGTAATACTTGAGTTTAACACAAAAGAATCATAACAGTAGAACTGCCCACTGATAGCCATACAAATGTATCTACTGTTATATAAATGGTAGAGCAGAATCTGCTGACACACTTCTACCGTATGTACCGTAATACCACTCAGTCCTAAAACAGGTTTATACTTCAATAAGAAAGGGGCCTGTTCTTGCCCTTTTGAAATAAGAGTTGCACAAATAAACTACATCCTATGCAATTGCAATGACTTAAGCAACTGTTATGAGAAATGATGTTAGGGTGGTAAAGAGGACGAAGTTGTACCTGTTTTGTTCATGCTGTGACGTCGATTGTACAGTCATAGATTCTCCTTTACTGCTAATGCTGGAAGACACTGCAGACAATGAAAGAGCAGGAAACCCAAAATATCAACACTTCCATTTTAAGTTCTCCTTAATCTTCAGAAGCTGATGAAAGTAACAGAACAAGTGAGGGTTTGCTTATTGAGACACGTTTCAGTGTAACACTGTGTCCAAATGGAACTACTTGTTTGCAGCAGCCGGCATGTAATTTTTGCATTCCTGAGTGAAGGTTAAAATGGTTTTGAAAATAATGAAATTACAGCTTATCAAAAATCTTTTGATGTGGATAAGCAGGATTTTGGACCAAGCAAAAAACTGCAAATGGGGCAAGGGGGAAAAAAAGAAAGTTATGGATAAATAAGATTTTTATTATTAGTTTTTTTCCAATAAAAGCATGTATTAAATTGATCAAAAGTGAAAGTAAAAAGATTTATAATGTTATATAAGATTTGTTTCAAATAAAGGTTTTGCTTTTTAACTTTATATTCATGAAAGAATATCTGAAAAAAAAATGTATTACAGTTTCCACAAAAATATTAAGCAGCACAACTGTTTTCAACATCAATAATAATAAGAAATGGTTCTTGAGCAGCAAATCAGAATATTAGAATGATTTCTGAAGGATCATGTGACACTGAAGACTGGAGGAATGATGCTTTGCATCACAGGAATAAATTACATTTTGAAATGTATTGTATAATAAAAACAGTTATCTTAAATTGCGATAATATTTAATAATATTAATGATTTCACTGTATTTTTGATCAAGCAAATATAGCCTTGATGCGTTCAAGAGACTTCTTTCAAAGCCATTTAAAAAAAAAAATACCCCAAACTTTTGAAATATAGTGTATGTCAAGCAGCAATTAAACTATATCTGGCCATTATTGCCTCTTTCTACTTTCATAGTTCTGATCTTATTATTATTTTATTATTTATGCATTTAGCAGACGCTTCCAAAGCGACTTACAGTGCATTCAGGCTATACATTTTTTACCAGTATGTGTGCTCCCTGGGAATTGAACCCACGAACTTTTGCGCTGCTAACGCAATGCTCTACCACTGAGCCACAGTGAAAGATTCATCAGTAGACAAGTTTTTCTTCATAAACGTAATAACTGAATTCCTCCATCTCAGAACAGACCTTCCTTTTGATCTGACATCACAAATCTTTCATACTTTTGCAACCTATTTGCAAAGCTAACTCAAAAATGTGTCACATTAACAAAATAAAATGGTCTACGCACAGTATTTTGGGTTGACATTAAAAACCAATCAATGCTAATGTGATCAAATACCGCTGAATTTTGACTGTAAAATAGTACTTGCTAACGCAGGACAGTTGGAAATGGGTCTTTTTGCAATACATCTGACTCACCTGAATCGCTGGACCTGCCGCTGTTGTTCTGCCGGTGCAAGGAGTCTTTGTGGCACACCGAGCACATGCCGTTATTACGTGGGTTCCCGTAAAACCCACAACCATTAGAACAGAGCAAAGGCACTTGTGTCTGATTGGTCTCTTGAGCCATATCCCTCTCCTGTGGACAGAACAAACAAAGAGAGCTCCATTAAAAAGTCACATACCATGCGTTTTTGCCAATGAATTGGTCACATTGGAGTAACAGCTACTTTGACGTCATGATCCACAGCTCAACTTTAGGGGCTAAATAACAGACCTAAATGCATGCAAGAGAAACCACTGGCCTCTTTCACCTTAAGAGAGCTCTGTCTACGATCTGTGCTTTCAATACTGAGTCTATGGCTGAATTAGGCTTTGTGCAGATGCTTGAGTGAGTAAGACACTTATCTGATCTTCCTCTGACATGTTCTAACTGTCTCTCTGCACCTGTCTGTAAGGGTCTGTCTCTCAGACTAGTGCTGAAAGATGGGAGAAAACGGCAGAAATTTACCTTTAAGAAAAACACAGACAGACAGACAATATGGACGATGGATAGTTGGATCGATATATAGATATAAGACTGACAGAAAAATGGAAAGATAGAATGCTGGATAGACAGACAGAGAGAAAGAAAGATAAAATAATGGATAAATGGAACAACAGACAGAACGACAGAACAATGCATAGATGGAATGACAGACAGACAGAAACACAGACTGTACATGTGGAAGAATTGACAATAAAGCAGACTTGACTTGACTTGACTTGATAACGATGGATAAATGGAATGATAGAATGACAGACAACACAAATACAAAACATAATCACAAACAAATTACAAACGATATTTAATTTGTTTTAAAAATGTATTTTATGTAAACGATCTGCAAAGTTGTAAAGCTGAAAGTGCACGATAAAGAAATTGTCTACCAAAATAAAGATTATAAAACGGATAGTTCCAGTCCTTGATTCTGATTGGTTGAGCTGCGTTTGAAGCTGTTGTAAATTACTCTACAAACATTATGTTTGTGTGTTGCTCGTCAACCACTTTGTTGCAACCACAGCCGTTTCTGAGGAACTACATTGTTTGGCGGAAGAATAATGTTTTTATTAATATCATTACACTTTATTTGCCGTTTTATTTTGTGAAACCTTGCTACGTAAGCCTGACATCCGCTTCGCGTCGTGCCTAACAACGCCCCTTAGCTGTTATAAATTTACTGTAAACCACGGCTTCTTGGGGCTTATTGCTTTAATCGACTCTGAACGGCTGAAACGGGTCGTTAGTAATTCGAATCCCACTTCCGTGATGGCTACACTTCACGGGGTAACACATTTGCATAATGCGCGCCTATGTTCTACGTTGGCCGACCACGAACAACTTGACTCCGCCCACAAACACGTCATTCTACTGACAACTGCTTCTCTAATCTCAGGGAGTTCAGTGGGGGATTCACAAAACGCTTGCTGTTGAAAGATGGATCAGTATCCGGTTTATTTGGACCAGCTGCTCCACTAAATCACAACCTGTAAGTATGATAAATAATAGATGTTTATATTTTCTATAGAGCGTTCAAAATATACAACTATTGAAATCGGCGTATCGTTTCCGACTTGCGCTGTACGCCGAAGACCAATCACAACAGACTAGGCCATCTGACCAATCAAAGCAGAGAAGGCTCACGGAAAGGAGAGGTTTAGAGAGAATTAATCTTTGAACTGCTTCGAACAAATCGTTTGAGAATCGCTGGAAAATTAGGTGATATTAAATGGATATTTTGAGAAAACGAAAGCGTTTTTTGACCTTGCATGCATGTAATCCTATTGTAGGAGACTCCCAAAACAATATTAGGAACCGTAAAATGGCATAATAGGGACACTTTACATTTTTATTGAAATAACATTTTAACAAAAGTATTATGAAAAATACTATAGAAAAAGAATACATTTAATAAACCAGGTACAAACACTGATCTGTCTAACCTGACCACATAAAACTGGAACAAGAAGGATGTTTTGGGTTTAAAATTGTTAAAGTTCCATATGAAAGCACAATAATAGTGACATTTAGGCCAATTATGGTAAAATTCCATGAGCTGCTCCGTGCTCTGCATTTCTCCCATCTAAGTCCACACACACAGCAGTGAGTAGTGAACATACACACACACACACAAAAAGCAGTGGCCAGTAGGGCTGCACAATTAATCGAATTTCTAATCGCGATTACAATAGCATCATATGACCCCCCTTTAAGGGTTTTTCCATTGTTTTAATTTTAGTTTTAGTATAACACTATAATACCATTTATATTTTTACTTTTTTTATAATTTAAAGAAGAAACCAATCATAGTTGACATTTGAGGCTTAATACTACAGAAAAGCACTAAAAGTTTTTCAGTTAGAGTGTTTTCAGCTTGTTTATTTTCATATAAAATTACGGCATGCAGTTGCATCGAACAATGGTATAAACATCATTCAATGTAAATTCTGATAATCGTAATTAATCATCGCAATTACAATTTCAAGGGAATAATTGACAATTATGATTTTTGTCATAATCGTGCAGCCCTAGTGGGCAGCCATTTTTGCTGCGTGGAGCAATTGGGGGTTCGATGCCTTTCTCTAGGGCAGCTCAGTCCTAATAGGTATTGAGAGTGGAAGAGAGCTGTTCATTCACTCTCTCCACCTACATTTCCTGCCGGTACCGAGACTCGAACCTGCGACCTTCGAGTTAAGTCCAACTCTCTAACCATTAGGCCATAATTGCCCTATAGTCACACAGAACTGCTTCCATACTGACTTTATCATTACACAAACACTCTAAAGAGTGAATCCAAGCCCAATGCTTCAACATAGTGTTCTTCTTAGTCAATGTTTAAAGCCAAACAGCAGCTTTAAATCATCTTTCAAAAAGGTTTAAGTTGGCCCTAGTGCTGATGAGAAAGAGAAAGAGCTTAATTCTGATGTGAATGATAAAAACTCAAGCCATGTCTGGCTAGTGTACAGTAAGCCGCTGTGCTCACGTGTGTTACCATGTGACAGGCTCTGGCACTAAATCAGATACAGAACAGGTCAGATAAAGATACTAAGTATCTCTCCAGTCCAGCTACAAGCAACAGGATCACTAAAGACACACTAGCCAAGAAAGACCAAGAACACATGCTACAACACAATGACCATTACAGAACACCTTGACAAACACCACTAATGGTACCAAAGATAATTTCAAAAATAATACCTGGAAAATAATAAAACTGGAAATGAATGCAACTTTATTTGGTAAATGAACCAATAAATCATCATTTAAAAGCATCATAGGTAAAGACACACCAGGCAGATCAATTACTAATACTAATTTTTCTAACAATTTTCTGATGTCAAATCAATGCGGTGAAGCTTAAGTCAATGTAAGCATCACAACACGATGAAATATGAATAACTATTCATTTTGAGATCTGCTGAAGTCTATTTGAATAAAAAAAAAAGTAGGTGTGATGGTAATTTGGGGAAAGCACTTCTAGAAAAGGGTCTTGCATTTGAGATAAAACCCAAGTTGATGCTCTCCTACATGATGACAGAAAACACAAAATATGGTTTCCCAGTGCCCGGTTGCATGAAAGCCTTTAAGTAATTTGACTTAAGGATATCCCTGAGGCAAGGGATTTCTTTAAGAGCATTTCAACAAACGTCTTAACCGTCACCCTTATCTAAGTGTTTATACTAAGCGTTTCACGTTAGTTTCTGGCAACATACAGCAATGGGTGCCGTGGTCGCTTTAGTTACTACATCTCACAATAAACAGAACATAAACCACAAACCTTTGCTACATCCACAGTTATACTAACATATCTGCGTTATGCAGAATACCAAGATCACAGAAAAAAAACCATAAACCAAACTGGACTGTGGTGAGATGAAGCATTTAATGACGGTCAAAATGCGAAAACGATATAATTTTTCATATCATTCGGTATCGATAATTATTGACATTTTTTATAACCTTTTTTTAAAACAAAGAGCAATAGAATTTTTTATAAAAACGTGCATTACGTCTAAATTAACTCATATAAATCAAATATAATTTCGTAAATTGCATAAACAATTATGAACAAAACAGCATCACGTATATGCATTGCTTAATACAAAGAGCCGAATCGCCCATCATACAGATTTCCTTTAAAAACCATACAAGACGCAGTGAAACGGAATAAACCTCCACAAATTCGTGACGTGTTTTCTAAAAGTTTAAACTGTTTTAACTGAGACGCGAGTGCAGCAGTCATATTTTTCCGTCTAAAAAATGCGCTGAATTTGCGTTCTGTGTGAATGGCTTTGTTTCGGTTTTAACCTAATCAAGATTAGCTACTATTACTATATTGCTCTAATATTTTGAATGAATAACGCAGCAGCTGCGCGTCTTGTGGGCTAGACTAACAAAACATTCAAATGCAACAACATCACTTACACC